AAGTTAAAGCATTAAAGTCTTCAACTTTTTTCAAAAATTTGTTAAAGACAGTGAGTACGTACGTGTTGACTATATCTCATAAACTTGATTTTTTTTTTTTTTTTTTAAACATTGAATTTCACGTGTCTAACAAATCAGAGTTGGTTTTTTTTCTCTGACTTCTGAATTTTTTTTCAGTCACAATTTTTTTTTAATAATCTCTATAATTAATGAGGATAGAAAAAAATTGAGTTCATTTAAAAAAAAATTATGCGTACATACGCGGAGAGGGGGCAGGCCTGCGAAAGTGTACAGGTTTGTACAAGGGGGGAGTCCTAAATCAGTGGTTTTACTGCATATGTACTTTTTAGATGCTCCTTAGTAGCGTGACCGTTGTAATACTTACTTTTTACCACTTCTGAACAAAACAACTTTGTCAGACTAAATGCAGTGAACAGCATAATAAAATAAAAATCCTTTGGTGTGTGTATTTATCACATATTGATATTATTATATGCTGAGTTTCATAGTTTTTACTTGAAGTTTTACAAACTTTTTGGTGTTTTTTTTTTGTCATGAGGGTCGTAACCATGAAAAATCCAGTGCTTAAAAACAACAAGTATAACTACAACACAATCAATAATGTAAGAAAAAAAGTATAAATAATTATTAACAACCATATATATTATGTTTAAAAAATGCAATAAAACATTATCAAAGTTTTTAATTATGGATATATGGTACAATTTTTAACACTTCACAACAGGACTGTAAATAAGCATCATGTCATGTTTATACGACTTTACAACTTTAACACCATGTCATGATAAAATGATTTTTTTAAATAACTTTTTTGGTTAAAAGTATTTTAAGATTAAAATATATATATATATATATATATATATATATATATATATATATATATATATATATATATATATATATATATATATATATATATATATATATATATATATATATATATAATATATATATATATATGTATATATATATATATATATATATATATATATATATATATATATATATATATATATATATATATATATATATATATATATATATATATATATATATATATATCAATAATATTTAAGTATATAATTGTTTTTCAATTATTAAAGATTAATTGACTTTAATAAAATTAATAAAAAAATTAATTTTTTATAAATCATTATTCCTTAAAAATTTTAAAGTGTTTTAATTTAACTCTAAAACTTCTAAATATAAAAATAAAACTAAAATAAATATGTAAAAATCTCAATGATTAAAATTAAATACTCAAATGATTGAATGTCAGTTAAGTCAGATTTCAATAACTAAAAGTATATTGATTAAAGACAAAAATTATGTATAATAAATATCAATAAAAAATCAATTTTCTTTAGAGATGAATATACCTTCTATAGATATATTTATCTATATATACCTTCTATAGATATATTTTAGAAGATATATTCATATATAAAATATGATTGAATTTTTTCATAATTGAGCAAACATGACTTATTATAAGTATGCATTATTCTTTTTAAAAGACAGAGATTTTAGTCAATCAGACATTTTAACTTGCAGAATAAAATAACAGTTTTTCAACAAAATCAAAATAAAAAATATTCTCTTTCTGTTTTGTTACTGAATCTTTACCTTTTTGTATCTTCTTTTCTTTTCTGAAGCTTTTTTATCTCATCTGTAACACCACTCTCTCAAAGTCTCCCCATTTTAATATACCTGAATGCAGCCGTGGCGCAGTGGTTACGCACTTGCCTCAGAAACGTAAGATCCGTGGTTCAAACCCCACCTATGGTGTTTTGTGACATCGGTTGGGAAGGTGGCGTGAACTTCCTATTAAATGCTCTTCCGCCGTGCTCTGTGATAAGACCATAAGGACTTCCTGGGGCACCTTAATCAACTTTAAAAAAAATAAAAAAATAAAAAAAAACTTAAACAATTTAATGTGACACATTAATCTCAATCTTTATTTAAAATTATTTTTAAAAGTTTCTTTTTTTAACTTTTACAGTCACACTACACATCCACACATTGCCATACATATAACCAGCGTTCAATATTTTTTCGAGACCTTGGACATTATTAACCTTCTGTAAAGTCATTTTCCTATGTTTTTATGTCTATCATAACATTTTATTATCTATTATGTCATATTGTCTATACATTATCTTATATTGAACATGTATTATCATATATAGACTTAAATCATATGTTAAAAATCAAAACAGTTTATGAATAATAAAATAAATAACTTATAAATAATAAATAAAAAAAATGATAAAAATCACCATTTTCCAGGGTGGAAAATAATAAAAACCACCATTTTTAGCTTTGCTGAAGTTAAACAAAAACTCGCCAACTGTTGTTTAAATTTAAAAAAAAAATCTGATCTTAAAATTTTAAAATTCAAATTATGTGGGGATAAAAATTTACTTTAAATTAAAAAAAAATCAACTCATATTTTGTATATAAAAACATACAACATATGAGTTGATCAGTTGCATAGTAGTTATGTATAATTATTATTTATAATTATTATAATAGCTATTATTATCACTATTATTATTATTATTATTATTATTATTATTATTATTATTATTATTATTATTATCATTATTTCTTATAAGTTTTAAAAATTAAATATAAGAGTAGTGTAATAGTTTTACAAATAAAATAAAAAATGTTAATCATAGTTAAAGTATATATATATATATATATATATATATATATATATATATATATATATATATATATATATATACATACATTTATACTATATATATACACATACATATATAGTATATATATACACATAAATCTATATCTATATATATATATATCTATATCTATATATATATATATATATATATATATATATATATATATATATATATATATATATATATATATATATATATATATATATATATATATATATATATATATATATATATATATATATATATATATATATATATATATATATATATATATATATATATATGGTAATATCTTTTTAAAGAACAAAAATCTCCTATTAATGGTGGTTGGGGAAACTGGAGTGAGTGGACAGAGTGTAGCGCCAGCTGCAACGGTGGTATTAGAATTCGTGAACGACTTTGCAATAACCCACTACCCCAAAATGGAGGTATTGAGTGTATAGGAGAAGGCGAGGAAGAAAGAGCTTGCAATGAAGAGATCTGTGAGCCTGGTGAGTGCAATTTTGTTTTTGTGCTATTCTAGCAACTAAAGTATTAACAATGTATTAATTCTTGTTCGTTTATTTTTCAATATAAAATATTAAAATATTCAATTCTTAGCTTGTACTTCTGAAATGGAGATAGCAATTTTATTGGACGCTTCAAGTAGTGTTACTTTGAATAATTGGGAGAAAACACTAGAATTTGTTCAAGATTTTTCAAAAGAATTTAAAATGGGCTCTACTGGCATTCGATTTGCTGTTATTGACTTTTCAGATGCTGCCACACTTCAAATTGATATTTTAGATCCGAGTTTATGGAGTAATGAAGCTTTTAATGAAAAAATCAGCAACATCGAATATTCTATGGGTTAATTTTTTTTTATTAAACAATTAAAAATATAAATATTTCAGTGAATTTGCTAGAAATATTATGAGAAAAGATATTATTGATGGTCTAAATGAAGGTGTAAATAAAAGAAACTTGAATGTTGTAAATAATAGTGTGAATGAAGGTGTATATGATGCAATCCTCGGTTCGGCATTGATGGCAAAAAATTTGAGGTCGGTAATTTTTTGCTGATCTCGTTTCTTTGTTTTATAATTAGACCTTTGTATCAAATAATTTTTGCCGACCTGATGGTGACCTCTAAAAGATTGAGGTTGGCTAATTATTGCCGACCTCATTTTTCCTAATTCTGAGGGTTGATTATTGTATGAACAAACCTGTGAGTAAAGGTGTCAATAAAGATGTATTTGATAGTATAAACGAATCTGCAAATGGTGGTATAAATGATTGTGAATGAAAAAAATGAAAAATGATCATTTTTCTAATTAAACTTATTACAACAGGGTGATAAATTTCTAAATTTTTCAGGTAAAACAAGAACTGACTTGGCGCTTAAATTAGCTCGTGAAAAAGTATTTTGCAGGGAATGTGGTTTGAGAGTCAATGTTCCAAAACTGGTTATAGTTGTAACAGATGGTCGAAGTACATTTCCGTTTTTAACACTGCCTGAAGCTCGTCTCATAAAGGTTTGTTTAAATTTTAAATACAAAGATATGTAAAATTTTAAAACCAAATTTAGCTTTTGATATTTGCTTTATCTCATAACTTTTACTTTAAAGAACCAAGCAAGCGTAATATGCATGGGAGTTGGAGATGAAGTTGATATAAATGAGCTAAACACTATGGCTACTGACAAAAATCATGTTTTTTTATTGAATGGTTATAGATATATCAATGATAAAGTCAACCAGATACTGAAAATGTCATGCAAACGTGAGTTCGCATTTAATATATAAACAATCTTTTAAACAAAAAATGCTAAATATAATGGAACTAAATTTATATAATTAAAATAAGAAATTATTATATTTATGAAAAGATTAAATATGAAAAAAATAAGTAATCTTGTTTATTACTAATTTAAAACAAGTTTTTTCATAATTAAAATTATTTTAACTCCTTTTCTATTTTAAAATTTATTTTTATTTTAAAATCTATTTTTATAAAAAAAAAAAATTTATCGCGTGTTTAGTTTTTCTAAATGCTTTAGTCTTATTTTAAAAATTTGCATAAGTTTTTATTTGTTTTAATTACTTTAGTCTTGCTTATTCTAATTATTTGTTTAGTCTTACTTATTCCAATAATAATTTATTAACAGCAATTTTCCCAACTTATTTTGATATCAAATTATTTGCTTCAATCTTTTTTGCCTATTTTGATAACCAATTATATGCTTCCTTGCTAGTTTTTGCTCATATCTCATTTATAAGGAAAATTAAAACTTTTATAATTGTAAAAACCAATAAGGGTATAACAATTGCAAAGGTTCTATGGTTGGGTCATGGTAAATTTTATTAACTCAACGTTCCAGACTGCAAGAGTCATGATTGAAATTTAGTTTTGATGAAAATAAGTCGTTTGCGGTTCATTTTGATATAAATATATATTGAATTTTCAGCCCAGACAACTTGGATTACCACAGTTTCAGAATCTATATTCATTGAAATTTCCTTCAATTTCTTGAAAATTGTTGATTCATTTATCACGCATTGCTTATATGTGCTGAATAAGTTCTGTTACAGTAGACTTCTTTTACATCATTTCGGTATTTGTATATTTTTTAATTTTAGGTTTTTTCCACTCATCCCAGGATAATTCAAAGTCAAATGTATCAACAGTTTGTGAGTATTTATCGAACTGTTTCATACCTTTCCATGCAGTGCATTTGTCATAGGCATAATGGTATGTGTACGGTTTACAAAAAAAATTATTTATCATTTCAGATCTAACTATGATCGAAGACGCTTGAATAGATTTCGTTAATGTATCTAAGGCAAAGCACATATTTTCATGCAAACTACAAACAAAAATATGCGGAAAATGGGCACAATAATTTATAAGAAAATGCAAACATTAATCAAATATTTTACAAATATTTGATTGATAGCACTTCACAATATTAAAATGCAAAAATTAATTCGACTAAAAACCACAACAAAATCTAAACTTTTTTTTTTAAGAGACACAAATGTGGTACAAAATACAAATATTTCCACACACACACACACCACTTAGCTTCCACCCCACTGGTGGTGGGGTGGAAGCTAACGACCACGACCAAAAATTCCTGGATCCGTCAACGCTTTTAGAAGATATTTTGACTTTTAATTATTACCATTTTACTTTAATTACTTTCATTATTAAATTTTTTTATCTTCAAGTTTAGTGACGCAACCTAGTTTTTGCAGACGTGAATGTAACAAGAAATCTTCTAAAAAAATGGCTTAAGTAAAAAATAAAAAATTTAGTCAAGTTATATTTAATTTCAAAAAAACTTTTTAACTAAAGACGGAGTTAATTAGTTAGTTTAGTTAGTTAATTAGTTAATTAGTTAAATAGTTTTTAGTTAAAAAATTTTAGAAAATTCTTGCCCTCAAATTTTACTCACTTTTTTAAATAATAAAGAAAAGGAAACAACTGTTAACATTCATCAAATTTATCTGCTCGGTTCAAATACTTGCTATTCAAAATTTATTTTAACGAAAATTATAAGTTATATTTATACTTTAAATTATAGTTAAAGAAAAAATGTTTTTAGAAAAAAGAATTCGTAAATATATATATACATATATATATATATATATATATATATATATATATATATATATATATATATATATATATATATATATATATATATATATATATATATATATATATATATATATATATATATATATATATATATATATATATATATATATATATATATATATATATATATATATGTATATATATATATATATATATATATATATATATATATATATATATATATATATATATATATATATATATATATATATATATATATATATATATATATATATATATATATATATATATATATATATATATATATATATATATTATTATTATTTTATATTTTATAACCAATTAAATTTTTAATGCCAGTAAAATACAGTATATTAAGACAGAATTTTGAGAACTTATATTTAGATTATGTATTCACAACAATGCTCTTTCTCTTGGATTCTGTATTACAGTAAAAAAAAACTTCATTCTTATTCTTTTTTTTTTTTTTGCCTGTAATTTCTGATGCCCTTCCTCCTATTAATCCGAACTTATAAGGTTGAAAATAAAATTTTAAAAGTAAATTAATTTTTAATTTTATTATAAATAATTTTTTTAGAACAATAATGACTAACATTTAATCTGTTATTTTTATTTTAGGAAAAAGTTAAGAAATAATTCGGATGGTTGTTTTGAATTTTCAAAAAAAGTTTTAAAAAGAAGTTTCATATTTTAATATCAGAAGATAATAAAGAATATGATGTCATGCATAAATTATATTAAATTATTTGATTTTTAAATGTTTTTTTTGAATTTGAGATTTTTTCTTTTATATTATATATATATATATATATATATATATATATATATATATATATATATTATATATATATATATATTTGTGATGCATATATATATATAGATATAATATGCATATATATATAGATAGATATATAATATGCATATATATATATAGATATAGATATGATGCAGTTGTTATATTTATTCAGATTTAACTTCTATTTTTATTGACTTTAAAAGTAGAATGAGGTTTAAAGAACTTTGGACCTGAAGTTAAGCTCTAATCATAGGTTCTAGCTTAAGCTCTAATCACCAAATTAAAGTTTGGGTTTATTCAGACTTATACTTAAAGTATGTGCTTATTCAGAAAATATTCAAAAATTTTAATTTTTATATTTTTTTTAACGATTTTTTTTTGTTTGCAGAACCGCAAAGAGAATTAACTAAAAATTCAGAGAGTTTGTATTTAAAATCAGAACTTTAAAATAGGTTTTTTCTGGAAATTAGTTATAAAAAAAAAGTTTTACTTTAAAATCTTAAACGCTTAAATTGACTTAACATTTAAAAAAAATGATATAAATTTCTACCTTAAAGTAGGATATGTGATATACCCTTAGTAAGGTATAATTTTCTAACTTCTAAGTTAAAAAATTATAGCTTTAATGTAAAAAATTGCTTGACAAATTGATAATTTTAATATAATTTTTTAACTCAAAAAGTAAAAAGCTATAACTTACTAAGAGTAATACTAGTTACTAAAAGTACTAAAATTTCATGCCTGACTAATATAACATATCCTACCCTAAAAGAGTTTGTTAAGTTGGTTTTTTTTTAGAGTGTATCAAAAGTATTTAAGTTTGAAAATACAAATGAGTGTATCAAAAATATATAAGTTTATTTTTCATTTTTCTCTTGGGTGCAGAGGTTGTTGAATGACAATTAATTTTTTTTTCTTTCTGAAAATCTTGGTCTCAACTAGTTTGGTTTTATGTGGCATTTATTTTATTTTCTCAGTAAGTTTATGCATGTAAAAACGATGGTATTTACTAACGTGAAACAATATTTTATTTCAAAAGTAGTATATTGCAAACATGCGAAGTCTTAAAACAAATTGATTTGTAGTTTCCGTCTGTTCATGCTTAAATATTAAACCGAAAATTTAAAACATGTTCATGCTTAAATGACTAAAACAAACCGAAAATCTTATATAAAAAACAAAATAAATCAATATTTAAATCACTATTTTCAAATAATTCGAAAAACATGGTTGTGATTATAGTATACTATAATCACGTTTTGGTAAAAGATGCTTGATGACAAAACTGAACGTTTTTAAAGATTTCTAATAACGATATATTTTAAACTTAAATAATTTAATTAATGGTATATTTATAGGGTAAAGTGGGGCTATTGGGACAGTGGGGCATAACGGGACAGTTATGCCTAAAGCTTTATATCTCATCTAAAAAAAAAATTTTTCTAAAATTTTTTTTGTAAAAAATTTTTAAAATTTTTGTGCTTCATTATTGTAAAAAAAAATTAATTTTAGAAGTACTATAGTACTTCTAAAATTAATTTACTGTTGCATTTTGGTACTTTTATCTCATTTCAGTACTAAAATGAGATAAAAGTACCAAAATGCAACAGTAAGTTTGCGAAACACAAAGTTAGCATATTTTCTTAAGCGATACAACGACAAAAAATTTAACTTGAACTATTGTTAGTTTTATAAAAAATTTACATTTTTCAGACAGTATTTTTTATCCTCCTTTCAAAATCTGGTTTTAAAAAAATATCTGGATTTAAACTTTTTAAATAGTTTTAATTTCACTAAAATAACATTTGTGGGGCATATTGGGACAACGAGTTATTTATATAATTGACTATATTACTACCATTTTGTCTACAACTTGATAATTTCGTCTTCAATCTAAAATATTATTTTCATTATTTAGAAAAGCAGCGATAGTAATAAATTCAAAGAAATTGTTATTTTCATAATAATGTTTAATGTAATTAACAATGTTAAGACATTATATAAGAAATATCAATCTCTTAAAATGGGATGAAATGCAGTTTTAGCTGTGAACAAAAAGGAACTTAGAATTCAAAAAGCTGCTGACGCATATGGGATATATAAATTTTCTCTACTTTGGCCTATCATGCTAATAAACCAGCTCATCAAAAATGTTATCAAATAATATACTATTTGTTGACATATTTTGATATTTTTTGTTTGATTCAGAGAATCAGACAAAAAAAAATAATTTGTTGAAATATTTGGGTGTTTATTGTGTGATTCATAATATTTTTATATTTTTATGCAAAACATTTAGGTGACAGTTCACGTTTACTTACCTAATAATAAAAGGTGAACTCCGTTCATATTCAAGGCCTGTTAAGGTTAACAAGTAACAGTAACAACCTAACAAAGTAATCATTAGTGTTAAAGAGAGAAAATTTATAACAACAAGTAACAACCTAACAAAGTAATCATTAGTGTTAAAGAGAGAAAATTTATAAAAACAATTTTTGATTCTTAACTTTGTGAAAATTTCCAATTTCAGTTTCTTTATTGTACCATGCAATTCAAGTTATAAGAAAATACTGGTAAAATAATAATTTATGATTCTTAAAATTATTTTTGATTAGAAAGGGATTAAAGTTTTGAATAGAAGAGTGAAATGACAGACAATTTTGAAGCATTTTTATGAATTATAATTCTTTTTAATAAACAAAGGTTCATGATAAAATTTTTATAAGTATTTTAAAACTATTATAACATGTTTTAGAATTATCTTTTATTTATTGGGAACTTTTGACTTGCATTTTTAACTTTTGTTCCACACATCGGCTACTTTACAAATGGTGGACTACAATTATAAACAGAAAAAAAAGCGGTTCCAATAAAATCCCACAAGTTAGATATCTAGTTTATATAATATATCATTGACTTTAGTGACATAGGCAAAAAATCTTCCGCCGCTGTTTTCGTGTTTCTTGAAATTTTAAGCTTTTTAAAAAACTCTCACTCTCTTTCGTTTGTTATAGTATATAATATCTTTATATATGTTATGTACAGTATCGGATAATAAAAGTGCAACCAAATAATGCTATGTTAGTTTCTTTATATAAAAGTGCTGCATTTTTTCAATTTAGAGAAATAGCTATGTAACTGTTTAGAGACAACGTTCTTTAAGTTTTATTCATTACAAAGTTCATTATTTGTACACGAAAATTAATAAATTAATCTAAAGTATTTTAAAAAATTGATTTTCTTCTGAACTAAACAAGTGCAACTCCATAAAATGTTCACCAAGCTGTATTTCGCTATCAATTTTTCGTGGCGAATCCTTTGTTGTCGATCACAGCCTTGCATCTTCGAGGCATAAATTCGATCAGGTGATCAATGAAACTTTGTGGAATCGCTGCCCAGGCCTTTTGGGTTTGTTCAAACAGTTGATCCTTATTACGAACACCTTCACGATTAATTCTGCGGTTGACGATCTCCCACAGGTCGATAGAGTTGAGATCCGGAGATTGAGGTGGCCAATCCATCACCGATAGTTGGTTGTCTTGAAACCACTGCTACTTTTGCAGTGTGTTTCGGATTGTTGTCTTGCTGAAAAACCCATTTTATTGGCATATTCCATTCAGCATGAGGTAACAACATCTTTTAGGACATTTTTATACATGAAACGGTCCATTATTCCATCAATTCGATGTATTGGACCTTGACCTTTAGCAGAAAAACACCCCCAGACCATTACATTGCCTCCACCATGCTTCACGGTCTTATGGCAGTAACGTGTATCGAGGCGTTTTCCAGCCGGTCGACATACACGGCAAGTACCATCGCTCCCAATGATGTTGAACTTCGATTCATCACTGAACAGGAAAGTTTGTCTGTTGTTGGTCCGATACAGGCTAATTGTTTTTGTATATTGACTGATGATATCCAGGGATCCTTTTTAACGGATCTAACGATCATAGAACCTTCTCTAAAAGTGGTGGAACGCGGTCTTCTACCTTTGTTTTCTGCTGCCAACTTCCCCGTAGAACGATATTTGGAGCATTGATACGATCCATTTTTTCACGCGATATTTATCACAAATACTTTTTTGTGACATTCCACTTACTTAATCGCCAATAATTTTCTTTCTTAGTTCCAATCCAAGGCTGTCGGAGCCATTTTTGCACCTGAAGTCATAAAAATAATAAAAATAAATAATCACGCTTCTCAAGGCTTACCGTAACACATTTACCTTGTGATGATACAATAATGCTATGTGGAACAAAACGTCTTGGTTGGATTTTGAATCTTGTTGTATTTCACTTCTTGTATTGATGTTCTTTGATAAAACACTTTGATAAAACTTCGATAAACTGTCTTGATAATACTGACTGATTGACTTCCATATACTGACTGAATTACATGTCAATTTACATGTCTCTTATAAAGTAAAATGAACCTGTGTGAACCTGTTCTGGAAGATTCTAGATGCTTCTTTTCGATGCTTCTGGAAGCTTCTGGATGCGTCTGGATGCGTCTGGATGCTTCTGAATGTTTCTGGATACTTCTGGATGCTTCCAGATGTTTCTTCTGGAAACTTTAAAACTTTACGGAATTTAAAAAAACATAAAGTTTGATATATTTTTAGAGATTCTGTGGGTTTATTAAAGAATATGGTAAAATAAACTTGAGTGAACCAAAGGAATCTATGTTTTTTACGACAAAACCCCTTTTTCTATAAAAAACTAACTTAAAATTGAAAAATAAGACAAATGCGTCAAAAAAACAGATTTCCACTGATTTCTTTTGGAATCTTTTGATATATTTTTAGAGATTCTGTGGGTTTATTAAAGAATATGGTATAATAAACCTGAGTAAATTAAAGGAGCCTTACAACAAAACCCCTTTTTCTATATAATAAGGTCGAAGTCATAAAAATAATAAAAATAAATAATCACGCTTCTCAAGGCTTACCGTGTTACATTTACCTTGTGATGATACAATAATGCTCTTTTAATTAAGTAGTCATTAAGGCTGCTTTTTTTGTGATTGCGTGAAAGATCTAGATACAAGATACAAATGATATAAACGAAAAAAGGTCATAAACGACATACAGCTATTTTTTCCCACAGATAAGCTCCGCGGTATTTAATCAAATAGAAGGTTAATTTTAAATTATATTTGAGAAGAAGAAGTTGAATATTTATGATTAATTTTATTAAAATAAGTTTGAAATATTTTCGGGGATAATCCCATTTTTGTTTCAAACATAAACAATAAAACGTGGTGTAAATTGAGTTTATACACAAAGCAAGGAGTATTTTTGTAAACTCTAAACACTATTCTTTACGCATGTTTTTGTTTGTTGTAGATTTTTTTAAGTTTTGTATAGGCAGTACTAGCCCACGCATTATTACAGTAAGACAAATAACTGTGAATAAAGGCAAAATACAATTTTTCAGGGATGTTACATTTAGAAAAGGTTTAGCAATATTTTTTGTGAGTGTTGTTTCAATACTATTTATATGTGAATACCACAGTAAATTTACACTCAGTTTTACTCCTAAAAAGTTTACGTATGTTTTCCCTATTAATATAAGTATTATTAATTATAAGATTTGGTAATTTTAGAGGAATGTTTTCTGATTTATTTACTTTGTGGAAAAGTATATATTTTGTTTAATCCGCATTTAGTGATGGTTTGTTACTTATGAATTATTCATTAACTTTGCATAACTGTTCATTAACTATTTTAAAAAGTGTTTTAATATCTCTGTGAGAACAAAAAAGTTTGGAATCATCAGCAAACAAAATTAGGTCTAAAAGATTTGTTGCTAAGTATAAGTTGTTTATGTACAATAGAAGCAAGAATGTTCCTAAAAATAAACCTTGAGGAACACCGCAAGAACTGTGTTATTTTGATCATAGTAGGGGAGAGTTGCCTTAATTGGAACACTTAAGAAATAAACATTTATTACCCAAAGATGGCTTAACTATGAAAACATTTATGATTTGATTAATACAAACAGACATTCCAACTATACTAATAACACAAATTTGACTTAATTGATTGCACTGTTATGGGAAATAAATTTGTTTTTGCAAAGTTACTATTTTGTTCCAATCAAGGCAACTGGTTCCCTAAATTTGAATACTTTGATTCCTTAATCAAAACAGTTTTTTTTTTAAAAAAACCCAGTAAAATCAACAAAAACGTACTTTGAAAATTTAAACAGTTAATTAAAAACTTATTATAGGATTAGTATTACCCTGAAAAATTTAAAGTCTACAAACAAAAAATTGTATAAAGCTTCAACTCTTATGACGTACTCTTAATTTATTGATTAAAAATCACTAAATAAAGTATTACTTTTTTAATTGCATTCGAACTATTTTTACAACACTTTGATTTTATTACTGATTAGGTAAAGAAAACTTCCATTTTTCAATCAAGGAAACATTCGACTATTTTGTTATATCACTACAATAACATGCTTGCAGCAACTTATAAGATAAGTTATATTGTTATTTTGCATTTTAAATCCCATCGAATTAAATACAAAAAACGGTACAACCTATAGCACCATAGTTTACACAGCGCAATCAATATAGTGTGAACACAAAAAAACTTTACATCTATGGTGCAAACGCATTTTTTGAGGAATAACTTTCAAAATATATCAAAACGTAGAAAATAATGCGCTTTACTAAAAAAATGCAAAATATAGCCATAATTCATTTTTCTTCAAAAATAAATGAAAGTGTTCCAATTAAGGCGCTGTTCCAATTTCGGCAACTCTCCCCTATATAAAAATTGATTTTGGTTTGTCAGATACTCTTTGAACCAATGTAAGTTTTTATTTTTCACTCCGTAGTTTTCAAGTTTTTTTATTAGCATATTGTGATTTACGGTATCAAAAGCTTTTGACAGATCAATGAAAATTCATAATGTAAAACAGTCATTACCAAAGGGGTCAGATATTTGATTAGAAAGTTCAACTATTGCACGTTCAGTGGAATACATATATTTTTAAAATTAAATTGCTTGCAATACAGCGTGTCGTAAACCTGGAGAAAATTTATAAAAAGTTAGGCTTATGTGCATAGGTTGGTATGATGCATAGCTTGGTTAGTAATAACAAAAAAAAGCCCCTTTTTTTTAAAGTACAAATTAGGGGAATATGATTAATTTTTTTAAAACGCCAAAATTATATGTTTTATATATACATTTATAAGATATTTAATGACTAACAAAAAACTTGCTTACTCAGATTTTACAAAATGTGCGGTTCGTGAGTTATACCTGTGGGAGTTATGACATCAGTATGATATACCGTTAGAAAAGTTACTTAATGCTAAATAAAATTTTTGCATAGTTTGGTACGTGGGGGGAAGAGAAAGGAGGAGGGGAAACCCAGGCCGTACATTTTAGGGCCTCTAATTTCTTTTAGCAAAAATGTTTTAAAAATCTTTTTCAACTTAGCCATAAAAGTGATACTTATTTAAAAATAGTTACGGCCTTCCAAAAGTCCAAATCCGGCACTGTAAAACAAAATGTTTTTAGAAAATTTTATTTTCCGTATAATTACACACAAAAACATTTAAGTTATTATGATAATATTTTGATATTTAAAACGTTAAAGACTTTGCTATTTTAAGTTTTTTAGCTCTTAAAGTTTTGCTTCTTAAAGACTCATTTTTAAAAAACTTTTTTTTTCCATCATTTTGAAAATTTTTTTATTCTTTTTTTTTAATGAAATTTGAAATCTTTTGATGAAAAAAGGGGTAAAATGCAAACACGAAAGAAAAATATTTACATAGAAAAGCAATTTTTAATTAAACACAACCAGCAACTTCTATGGTAACTGTTTTATTGTGTCTCAAGTACGTAAATGTGTGTCAAGGTAATCGAGGTAATCAATAATTCTTATTGATTCAATAGAGTTACATAATAGTTATGTAAAAAGCGTTTTTTTATAGACACTGAGAATTAAAATACACTTTAAAATTAGTTTTAAAATTATAAACAGTTTTCAGGTACTTTTTTTACTTTATAAATAAAACATTTTTTAGAGCTATTTATTGTTTCAGTTAATTTATGCATTAATTTATAGTTTTTATTAGTAATGGATTAAACTAGGCAGTTTAATAAAGAAGTTCAAGCAAGTTTTTTTTAAGGCCTTCATTATTTATTGCTTTTAATTCTGCTCGGTAACTTGTTTTCTATAAAAAATATATTTTTTAAAAAAATTTTTTTATTTTTTTAAATAATTTTTTAAACTATTTGCTTATTAAAATTTTATTAAATTTTTATTATTAAAGTTTAATGAGCGATTGCTTATTTTACATATTGTCAAAGGATCGCTTTTTTTGGTGTTTGAGATGGATCTAACAGACATGGAACTAATCTCAAACTTAAAGAAGCTCAAACTTAAGTCTCATATGAGAATATTTAACAAGCATTTAAAAGATTGGAGCCTGGGAACAAAAATACCACGAAACTTGTACTTTTTTTTCTAAAAAATTAATAAAAGATTACGCGTAATCTTTTATTAATCTAAAATTATTTTATTAATCTAAAACAAATATATTGTTCGTCTAATAAAATTATATTATTAATCTAATAAAATTATTTTATTAATCTAAAAAAATTTTATCAATCTAATAAAATCTTTTTAGTTTATAAAATCGCAGTTATTTATTTGACAACTTTTTTAATTTTTATTGTTATTTTCTATTTTATTTTTTATTTTTGTAGGTATTTTTTTTTATATTTTATATAATATTGTTTTTCAGAAAGTTTTAGGTAGATAAGACATTTTTAGCATTATTACTAGAGTCACATGTAAGTTTTGTTAACTAATAATATAAACAAATTTTGTACGCCACGTTTACAAAAAGCACTCACTCTTAACTAGGAGTGTACCGGTTAGGAATTTTTAGATTCCGGCCGGATCCGGATTTACCGGAATTGTTAATAAAATTCCGGCCGGAATTCTAATCGGAACGAGAATTATGTAATTTTTTACCTTCAAGCTTAATTTTTTTTTTTTTTTTGTTTACATTTTTGTCGTAGTTTGCAAAAACAAATAAACAAGGTATCTGAAAGAAGATCATAATGATCTTATCATCAGGACCTTTTATAAGTATTTTACATTAATACATAAACAAGACTAAAAAATTACAATAAATTGAAAATATAAACCAAACCACTATTGTTATATGTAATAAAAAAGTATTATCTAATCTTATCGTCAGAACTTATAAAAATGTAAATATATTAATACACACACACACACACACACACACACACACACACACACACACACACACACACACACACACACACACACACACACACACAAATATATATATATATATATATATATATATATATATATATATATATATATATATATATATATATATATATATATATATATATATATATATATATATATATATATATATATATATATATATATATATATATATATATATATATATATACAAAATAAATACAATAAGACATCTTTTTGTAATAGAAAAGAAAAAATTAAAAAGACAATTACTTTTTATAATAACTACAAGAAGGTGTTGTTATAAAAAGTATATTTATTGTTATTTAAATATATCTTCAATAGATAAAATAAACTTTTTAAGATCATTCTTAAAGATTTTTAATTGATTACAGCAAATTTTGTTTGTTAAGAACTTTGTTTTTTTTAGGTTTACCTATAGTTCTTTGTTGCCTTGTAGGACAATGATTTTTTGATTTAACTTATACAATCTGTGTCACATGTCTTAAAATAAAGGTAAAAAATAAATTCCGGCATTCCGGCCAAAAATATTATAATTCCAACCGGAACCGGTACATCCCTACTCTTAACTAATGTTTAGTTTTTAGTTTATTAGTTTATTTCGCCGTTAAAAATATTTACAAAGTACAACAATATAAAAAGTACAATTGGCTGGAGCAAGAAGAAGGCATAAAATAGCCTTATCACCGAGCCCCAATAGTAACACAAATAAATATCCGTAATACACAATAATCCGTAATATATAAGCAAAAGTATTTAAAAAAAGACAATTTAAAATGTTAAGAAACAAAGTTAAAAAGAAAAAAAAGAAAAAAAAAGTATGAAAATTATTGAAGATAAATAAAAAAAAATAAAAAGAAATGATTAAAATATAGTAATAAAAATGACAAAAATTTTCTGTTTTTGGTTATATATTTGGATGTGATTCGACATATATATTTGTATATATTATTTTCTTTCAAAATAATTCAAAATTGAAATAAAAATTCTGTTCCAATATTATAAAATATATCAAGAAAATTGTAGGTAACTTTAAGAGAATATATATATTTAATGAAAGTATGATAAAGACATTGAAATTCTTAGTACTGTTAAATGGTCTAGATTTTTAAATTTATGGTGCTAATTTAGTTTAATAAATTTTAAAGCTTTAAAAGTGACATAAAAGATCTGCTATATTAAAATCCGTAAGTACTAAATAACGTCTTAACTTAGATTTGAATTGCGGAAGTGTTTTTTCTTTAATATTAACAATATGCTGAAAGTTTTTCCACAAAATTGGACCCTTGTACTGAATAGAATAAGAACATAACTTTAGATTATACTTTTGAGTTACAAAGTTATTTTCTGAGAACTTGGTGGGGTATTTATGGCTTACTTCTCTAAAATAAGGATAGAATATCGCTGGAGACAGTCAATGTTTTATTTGATACATGAACTGTATGACGAGGAATATGTTAATTTTAAACACATTTAATGCATTGAGTTTACGTAAAAGTGGCTCACAAGGCACAGTTCTTTTTACTCCAAATACAATTCTACATGCATGTTTTTGTTTAGTATAAATTTTCTTTAACTTAGCGTAGCTGTTGCTTGCCCATACGATATTGCCGTAAGTTAGATAGCTATGTATGAAGGAAAAATATAAACTTTTTAGAGATCTTATATCCAAAAATGGTTTTGCTTTATACATCATTGCAATGTTTATTGAAGGTTTTCTTTCAAGAGTGTTTATGTTTCCTCCATGTTAAATTTTCGTCTAAAATAATACCTAAAAAGTTTACAGTTGTTTGCCTAGTAATATTTATATCATTGATTTTAAGATTGGGTAATTTTAAAGGTAGGTTTCCTGTTTTGGTTGGTTTGTGAAATAGAATAAATTTAGTTTTGTTAACGTTAAGTGAAAGTTTATTACAAATAAACCATTCATTTACTTTGTTTACTTCTTCATTAACTACTTTAAAGAGAGTTTTAATATCCCTATGAGAATAAAACAGATTGGAGTCATCAGCAAACAAAATAAAGTTTAGTATGTTCGAGGTAAGAGATAGATCATTTATATAAAGAGAAAACAGTAACGGTCCTAAGATTGAGCCTTGAGGAACTCCACATTTTATTATACTTTTTGTCGTTTTAACATTTTCATATTGAATGTATTATTGTCTGTTTGATAGGTAATCTTTAAACCATAGTAAATTATTGTTTTTTATTCCATAATGTTCAAGTTTTTTTAAAAGAATGACATGGTTGACTGTGTCAAAGGCTTTAGACAGATCAATAAATACTCCTAATGTAAAACGGTCATCATTAAAGGCATTGGTTACATGAGTTACTAACTCGGTCAAAGCGTGATCAGTTGAAGGATTTTTTTTAAAGCCAAATTGCTTGTTGTACAACATGTTATTTACTGTTAAGTAGCTGTTTAGCCTATTATACATTATACGCTCGAGTAACTTAGAAAAGCATGGTAAAACTGATATTGGTCTATAATTTGAAGAATCTGTGTCATCGCCAGACTTAAAAATAGGCAAGACCCGTGCAATTTTTAATTTTTCTGGAACTGTTCCAGATTGAAGAGAAAGATTAAAAATGTGATATAAAGGAGTTTCTATAATATGAAAAACTGATTTAACAACATTTATGCTAATATTATCAAAACCTACACTTGTGTTGTTTTTAAGATTATCTAGAGGATATCGTAACTCATTAATATCTAGTTTAGAATCGTCCATGACCTTATCATATATTTTTAAATAAGAATCAAACGATGATGAGCCTGAAGGAATTTTTTCAGCTAAGTTTGGACCAATATTAAGAAAGAAGCTGTTTAGATTTTCAGCTACTATTGACTTGTCATATATAATTTTACCATCTACTAAGAGTTTCTTTGGTTGAATACTTATTCCATTATTTTTTCTGCCAATAATTTCTTTAATTACGCTCCACGCACTTTTGGCATTTCCGTTAGTTTTTTTTAACAACTTTGAATAGTAATTTTTTTTTGATTGTTGTTTAGTTTTTTCAAATATATTTTTATAAAGTTTGTAGTTTGTTTCATTTTTATACGTTTTTTTTTTTAAGAATTTTTCATACAACTTTTTTTTTTCTTTGAAGATTTTAATAAGCCTTTAGACATCCATTGACCTTGAAATAACTTGGTATTTATAACAACTTTTTTCTCCGGAAAAGCTTTTTCATATTGCTCACAAAAAAAATTTAAAAAATAGTTCATAGGCATTATTTACCTCTACCGATTGCATTATAAGATCCCAATCAACGTTCTATTTTAAAAGGTGTTGAAATTTTTGTAAGGAGTATTTATTGATCTGCCGCCTGTATATTATAAATTTAGAAGAATTATTATTAATTGTTATATTATTAGTTATCAAAAAAGTAGGAAAATGATCTGATAAGTCTGTTTTGATTATACCTGTGGAAATATAGTTGTTATAAAAATTGTTAGTGATTATATTATCAAGTTAAGTAGAAGATTTCTTAGTTATTCTGGTTGGTTTATTTATTGTTGGAATAACATTATGTTGAAGAAGTTTATCGATAAAATGCTTAATTTTGTTTGATGCTTGTTTTAACAAGTTCAAATTGATATCGCCGACAACGTAAATATGCTTCCGTTCTTTATTGACTTTAGTTAAAAATGTGTTTAAGTGAGTATTAAATTTTTTTAAGTTACCAGATGGCTTTCTATAAATAGCATTAACAATTATATTTTTTGTGGTTTTATTATAAAGTTCAATGCACAATGACTCACAATCTGTTTCATTAACGCATAGGTCATTACGAGGGAAAAAAATCAATTGAATTGTGGACAAAAATACTAACGCCTCCGCCACCATAACTATCACGTGGTTGATGAATTGACGTGTAATTAATTAAATCAAACTGTGTACTTTGTTTATTGCATTTACTCCACGTTTCTGTTAGACAAATAATGCTAAAACCATGTTTTATTTCGTCCAATAAAATTTTTAAATTTTCAAAGTTTTTATTTAGACTTCGGATGTTAATATTTAAAATTGAAAATGCGTTTTTATTATTTTTAAGATATTGCGCAGATTTGTAAACTGAGTAGTATTTGCTTTCAAAATTCAATTTGTCAAAAAGAGTCTGTTTCAGTGTCATTATGATTAATATTTTCATTAGAAAATTGAAATATAGAGTTTTGCTGCATTTTTATACATGGTTTTATATAAAATTTTGAAACATAAATAAAAAATAAAATTACTTATTTAGCTTTTAGATTAAACTCTCTCACTATTAACTTATCGTACTCAATAATAGCATATTTTCCAGCGTTACGCTCAATCTTCATTTTTTCACTTAATTCGCGTCTTATTTTGTTAGTTTCAAATGAAAAATCTTCATTAATAAAAATACCTGTACCTTTCAGCATCTTTGCGTTTTCCAAAATTTTCTCTTTGTCTTTATAATTTAACAGTTTGAGTATGATTGTTCTGGGTTTATTCTTTATTTTCTCTGCGTTAAAGCGTCTTTCGATACGGTGCGCTCGTTCAATAATAATGTTACTTATTTTTAACTGATCATTAAATATTTGTTGAACTTTTTTTTCAGTTTGATCCCATGTTTCTTTTTCATTTTCTCGTACACCGTCAATTCTAATATTGTTTCTTCTATTCCTATCTTCTAGTTTTCTAATTTTTTCTTGTAGTGCATCATTTAATTTGCTTGCTTCGATCTGCGTTGTTTTTAGCTGTACGGTCTGATTTACAACTTTAGTAATTTCTGTATTCATTAACTTTTTAAGTTCTTTTTCGACGTGTACGAGTTTTTCATTAATTAAGGTATCTTGAGTGAACTCAATACTTTTTTGTAGATCGTCAATACATTTCTGCAAGCTTTGTTGTTTTTTTTTCAACTTTTGAAATACGATTTGTTATATTTTCTATTGAAAGTAAAATTTTATCCATTTTGTCGTTTTGTATTGAGGCATTTCCTGATACTATTTTTAAAAGCGAACTTTCTTGCGCTTTGAACTTTTCCTCCATTATAATTTCAATTTCTATTTTACTTGCCATTTAATAGATTATGTGTTAATTATTTTCAGATAATTACTATGTACTAATTAATTAACAGTGAATTTCTTCTTTTTTTATTTATAAAAATACGCTAATTTAAAAATGTGCGTCCGTTCTATGAAAGCCAGATGTGAAAAAAAAAGTTGATTAAACTGATGCTGATTGTGATTGCTAATGTTGATTAAACTGATGCTGAGATTCTTACATGTTAGAATTTAAATTTATCTTTAAGATTGAAATATATAGTATAGTTTATTTAATTATTTAAACGATTGCTTAAAATTTAATTGCAACTTAAAATTATATTTAATTAATTACAATATTATTAAAATATTTTAATAATTTAATTACAATTATAATTTAGGAGAAAACCATTTTTTAATTTTACGCGTTTATTTTACGTAGTTTTTATTGAGATTTTTTTTTTCCTTTAAAACCTTTTGCTAACGGATAAAATGCTTAAATGTAGTGTAAGAATAAATAAATGTAAAATATATTAGAACACTACATTAAAATATATTAGAACACTACATTAAAATATATTAGAACACTACATTAAAATATATTAGAACACTACATTAAAATATATTAGAACACTACCTAATTAATCAATATTAAAAAACTTGAATATTTTAGTAATATTTCAGATTCACAAAGTAGTTTTACTAACGCACAAGTATCAACACAAAAAGAGAATGAAACTGATAACAACAGCGTGTGCTCTAGCATTTCTAAACTTTATCACAGGTTATTTTAAACTTTGTATTGTTAGTTAAATTTTATTATTCTCGATGGTTGTTAAAACTTTTATTATCATTTCTTTTAGGAAGTCTTTCAGCAAAGTGTGCAATTAAATACAAAAAGGTTGGCTGTTTTAAAGACCGTATTGTTGTGGACGATTCATTGTCAACAGAACTAACAAATGGCAGTGAGCCTGAAAATCGTATTTGGGATTTAAATACTTTAGAGTGGAAGGAATGGTCGGAGTCACTAGAAATGTAATCATTGATTCTAAATTAAACTTTTACCATATATATATATATATATATATGTATATATATATGTATATATATATATATATATATGCATACAAAAAAAAGCAACAGAGCTATGTATGCTTGTTTCAATTTATTAGGCACTTTGATCATTGATCTAAACATATGGGATATAATACAATAAAATTTCCATTTTTCCATATAATTAAACTTTAACTAGCCTTTAATATTTCAATTTCTCTAAGTGAACATGTCTTCAATGAACAAACAACCAAGAATTTTGATCTCTTCTTTAACAACGATATTTTGAAGGGTCAAGTTAAATATAGCCTCAATAACCTCATTTTAATCAAGTTAACATAGATCAGTAAAAACATTAATAAAGAAGAGTTAACATAGATCAGTAAGAACATAACTAAAGAAGAGTTAACATAGATCAGTAAGAACATAACTAAAGAAGAGTTAACATAGATCAGTAAGATCATCACTAAAGAAGAGTTAACATAGATAAGTAAGAACTTAAGTTTCAAAATCGTTCTAACCATAACTCAAATACGCAATTTTAGAAAGAATTTATTGAAATTGTTGAACATCCTTAAAATTGAAACTTTTCTTATACCAGTACTGCTCGCAATTGTATTAAAGATTACAATTAGATTTTCACAAGAAGGTTAAAACCATAGATAAGAATGAGCTTGGTTTGAAACCAACAAAAAATAATAAAAATTTCCATACCTGCTTGGATTTAGGAGGTGCAAAGAAGGTTAGTGATTAAAACGAGTCACATAGTTAACTATCTTTGTCAGAAATTAAAAAATACAGAAGTTATGAGCTTTAGTGCCAGCAAAATCAGCGTTGCTAGTTGATGTGTGATGATTATTTAAGTCATCAATTGCAACAATGTTTGCAGAGGGATAATAAGAAAGATCTTTGAACTTGATTCAATTTTACATCCAAAAGAGTGCTGTTTTGAGAAAGAGAGGAATAAAGGACAAAGTGGAAAGTGGTTAAGTGAAGAGATGCTAAGCGGAAACGCATTAAAGAATGAAGATTCAAACTTGATTAGTTAAAAAATAGGTGAATTGATGCGAAAGTATATGCCCAAACAAAAATGTGTCAATCATTGCAAACCAGAGAATAATAGCTATCAATACTAAGATGTAAATTAGAAACAGTCAAATTCGAATTAATAATATAATATACTAATAATATTTTTGGATGCTTTGGATATGCTTTTTGTTAAAGATTGTCGGAATGATAATGACCCATAAGGTTTCTGAAATATTTCAAGAAAATTATTAAAACCAAAACTTTTCTAAGAAAGTTTTAGTATGGCTAGACAATAGTTTGTGTAATTTCAAAACTCAGTCATTTTTTTCAAACTAAAACATAAACTGCAGTATTAACGTGAAAGAATGTTTAAAAAAGCGACTATGATCAATGATCCCAAAAACACAATGATCCTTATCTTTTTTTGCCTGATCTTGCATCTAACCATTACTAAAAAAGTGTAATTGAATTCATCAACTAAAATGTTATGATTTTTTCCCAGAAAAAATGAATCCACCAAACGTGCCATAACTTTGTCAAACTAAAGAATTTTGAGCAAATATAAAGCCTTAGCCGCGTAAAACGAGCAAAAGTGTGACAAACATCAATAAGTTTTGTTAATTTTAGGGTGTAGCATCACAACTTGCTTTAGAACGAAAAAACTTTTAAAAATTAATTAAGTGGGTATTGAAATATTTTAAAAACCCCAAAGCTTATTATCATTGCAGACTATCTTTATTAGAGAAAATTAACAAAATCATAGGTAGAGTATGGCATCTAAGCAATGAGCTGTGTCAGTCCAGCTAATAAACTAAATTATATCTTAGGGATTCTTATGTGGCTTCAATAATACCCTACAGAAGCTCTAACAGGAACACCAAGAATGCGCAACATGACACTGTTTATAAACTAATACTAAGTCCGCGCCAGCACAAACATCATATACATAGGCGTAGAGTTTTACTTTTCCCGAATGGGGCTCAAACTGATGGGAGTTAAAAATCTATAATAAGATATAACAAACTTTTTCAATAAGCGTAAAAACGTAATTTATTTAAAAAAAACGTATTCATACGTAAAGAGGCACGCATTGCAAACTCATCAATCAAAGGATCAAGATTGAAAGTTACGGTAACACTGCGATGCAAAATTACGGCAACACTGCGATGGAAAAGTTACGGCAACACTGCAATGGAAAAATAGATCTTAAGCGTACGAAAACAAGAAATAGAGCGTTCATACAAACATAAGGTAACAGCATACATAATATCTTTATCAGCTTCACGAACACTGGAATCAGTGAAACTAATTGAAAAAAAGACACCATTGTGGTTAACCAAGATAGCGGCTTTATTGTAATGCAGTTTTAGTCTTCAATGAAATATAATCTTCAATAATCTTCCATAATCTTCAATGTAATCTTTTTATAAAGCTTCAAAAAATGTAAGCATTTACCGATAATAAATTTTTTGAAAATTTATCATTGGTCAGTGAGATTTATTAAAACATCCCAAGCGTTTTGAAAACGCACAGGCAAATGCGAATAAAGATTGGTCTTTATTTTTTATATTCCACATTTCTGTTTGATTTTCAACAGAATCTTGTGTTAGCAAGTTTATACTATTACCGTGGCAGTGCACGTAAATTGGCTGACAAAGACCACGTCCTAATACTATCTTGCAAAAATTGTTTTTAAAAACATTTAGCTATGTAATTTGTTTTTATATAATTTTATAAGTAACTTTTAATTATAAATAAACTTTATAGATACTAACCAAGTGTCAAAAAACTTTTTGTAATGAATGTAAAATGCTAAATAATGTTTTTGCAAAAATATCTAGCAATGAAAATTTTTTTGTAATAAAACTTTATTATATTTCAATTTTATTTAAAACACAATTCACAAGTATTTATAACTTATTTGTTTACTATCTAAAACTAAACCATTTAGACTTTATCTAACATTTTGCTTTGCAACTTCTTACCATCTTATAACCTTTTAAGTGCCTAAGTAAAAAAAAAGTTTATTACTTGTCATGTTTCAGAATTATTACATTGGAGTTCATTTTTGAAATTCAGCTAGTTAAGTGAATTTCAACCGAATTTCCCACAGTTCAAAATCACGTAATAAAGCAACTGGTTTGGCAATAATAAATAAGCCTAATAAAGTCTTTTGTGTTTTTTAAACATCTTTACTTCCAACAAAGCCCAAAGCAACCATTATTAAAATTGGAAGTTGCTGGAACGCCTTTGGTCAAATAAAAGACGCCTAAAGATACGATGCGGTTTTTTCAAATAGTATAACAAGAACACTGAGTTTCTGCAATTGGTTATTGAAGAAACTAAAGATTAGAACAAAGAAACTAAAAGATAGGTGTTTTACAATACTTTAAAGTTGTATTACCGAACATTGTGTTAAACTTAGTACTCAGATGGTCTAACAAACGAACAGTGATAACCAATTTTTAGGCTTGTTCAAAAAATATTTGAAGGTGTTTCTAGGGCCGCTGATAAAGAAAGGGGGACAAAAGAAGCAATGTCCAAAGCAACAGATATCAAAAGAGCACCAAATGAAAAGAAGGTACCTATAAAAATTAAAAAAAAAAAGGTTTTTAATGAATGATAAGGAAAGTTTCAATAAATAAGGGCGTTAATCAGGGTTGCTATACCAGGAAGTGTGACGGCTTTTAGCGGCCCTGGGTGTTAAATAACAATATTTCTAAGTAAAGAAAACATCTTTTAAAACGTGAATAAGATTCATAATATAAAAAATTACTTTCTTTAAAAATAAAAAATTGTATCAAAAACTTGTTTAGTTAAACTCAGTGCAACAATAAAAGTAATTAATGTTATTAACTTCACTATTATAAATTATTTAATGCTATTAAATTTTTTTTTTAAAACATCTTCGCTTCCAACAAGGCTGCAAGCAACCACTAATTAATGTTGGAAGTTTGATAGACGACTTAAAAGATTACAAATTATATGAATCAGGAAAACAAGATGAAGGTAGCAAATTCCAAAGAACTGATGTTTGAGGGAAAAAACTAGAGGAATAAGAGTTTTTGGAGCACTTGAGAACAGTCACAGAAAAAAGATGAGACTTAATTGAATGACGAGTAACACGCAAATGAAATTTAGTAGATGACACAAGAGACACTAACTCTTTAAAGCAGTGCCCATTATAGTATTTGAAAGAGAAGCAACGTTACGACAATGTGATATTGGTTGAAAATTGGCTGCAAAAGCAGGTCCAACTATGTTTACAATGTGTTTTTAAACCTTGTCTAAAAGAGGAAGGACATCATTAGAAGATCCGCCCCTGATATGGTAACAGTATTCCATACAAGGTCGGATTTGAGATTTATAGAGATAGAGAATAGAATCCAGAGTAAGAAAGTGATTCAATAATCTTAAAAATGTTACCAGATACACCGTGAGATTAGAGCTTATGGAGAAGACCAGCGTGCCAAACTTTATCAAACGCTTTAGAAATGTCAAGAGTGATGGCCTTAAACTCTCCACTTTTATCTAATGCACAAAAAAACCTATCAGTTATTACTGTTAGTAAATCAACCGTAGAACGAGAAGATCGAAATCCATATTGATGATCAGAAAGTAAGTTATTAGATTCAAGATGAGAGATTAAGTGTTTGTTATTTAAAGATTCAAAAACCTTGCTTATGATAGAAAGAAGACTAATGGGACAGTAGTTAGACGAGTGAGAACGCTCTCCAGAATTTTTAAAAATAGGGATAACAGATGCTGCTTTCCAGCAGGTTGGAAAACAAGATTTTGATAAGCACTTTTTGAATAGTTTTGAAAGTATAGACAACAGCTACTGAGAACACTTTTGCAAGACTATAACAGGTATGTTGTCCGGGCCACAAGCTGTAGAAGAGTCTAAGAAGGAAATCAATTTAAATACAGAAGCTGGAGTGATATGAATGTCA